ATAAGGTGCCTGAACAGAAAAAGAGCGTTGTCCATATGTTTTTAGCTTTCTCCTTTTTGAAGGGGCTTGAAGAAGAAATTTATCGGAAGAACGAAGTGCACGAGTTGGAGGGTATGGCGTAAGAAAATGTAGCAAATATGATGGTTGTTTAAAAAAGAGTGATTTAAAAACAAGCAAAAGAATCTTGAATGTTATCCGTTGTTTAATGCTAAGCCAATGAAGGTCTTTAAGAATGGGAGTAATGTGTTGTTTACGTGGAGTAAGTGAACATATCCTGGCAGCTGAATTTTGTACTTTCTGTAAACGATGAGTAACAAAATCAGGCAAACCGACAAGCAATGAATTACAATAATCTAACTTAGTGGAAATAAAAGCTTGAACTAAATTTTCAGTGGACTTGGAACTAAGGTACTTACGAATTCTCCAGATGTTACGAATAAATAAAAACGAGGATTTACAGAGGAGACATGAGGAACAAAAGTGAGAGATTGGTCAAGAATAATACCTAAACTTCGAACGGAAAAAGCAGGGTTGATAATAACCTCTTCAATATTAAGCGAAGGAAATTGAGGTCGAGGGCGGAATTTAGAAAAAAAAACCCCAATAAACTCGGTTTTTGAGGGGTTCAGTTTTAACATATTGTTGAACATCCATGTTTTAATTCATTAATGCAAAGTTGAAGTTTTTGAAATGAAATGGTTTCAGTGGAAGGGCAAAAAGGAAGGTAAATTTGAATATCATCGGCATAAAGATGATACTTAACATTATAAGAACGTAAAATGTTGGCAACAGGAGTAATATAAAGCAAAAAAAGAAGGGGACCAAGTACGCATCCTTGGGGAACACCACATTGAAGTTCAGTGTCCTTAGAAAATGAATCAGAAATGGCAACTTTTTGAAAACAATTTGTCGATATACCCCTGCTGAGATGGAAATGTTGTGGTTTCCATCCACACTGCGATACTATACTCAATAATGGCCTGGAAAAAAGCGGTACAGTATACAGCTTAATCAGGATTTCGGGGTTTAAAAACTTGACAGTGCGTTTAATAAAACCGTTCAGTTTTTTACATTTGGTAACCACATTTTCAACTTGTTCCCCCCATTTTAAATTTTTTGTAATGGTTATTCCCAAATATTTAATCTTATCAACTGTTTCTAATTTTTGACTATTGATAGTGTACTCATCATATATAATAATAATAATAATAATAATAATAATAATAATAATAATAATAATAATAATAACAATAACAATAACAACAATAATAATAATAATAATAATACAGGAACTTGTACCGCAAAATTGGTTTTCTGCTCCCCGTTTCATGCATAACTTTACACTTTTTACAATTTAGTGCCATCATATTTTCTACCCCCCATTCAACTACAACATCCAAATCATTTTGTAACTTGGCACTATCAGTTCTGTCACTAATTACTCTAAATAAAACCTTATCATCTGCATACTATGGCATACTCGACTCTACTAGAAATGGTAGGTTAGAAACTTATACATTATAAGAGAGGCCCCAACACTGATCCTTGTGGTACACCAGAGGTAATACTAGTCCAGCTGGAGAGATGTCCAAAAATGACACCCTTTGGGACCTCCCAACAAGAAAGGATTTAACCCACTGCACTTTATGATGTCTGGTTTAAAGCCAAAGTTTGCCAGATTTACAAGCAATTTAGCATGAGACAATTTCACGAATCAATGAACCCCGAAGAGAAAGGGGGATTCGGATACTCCCCGGGAAAATGTTGATTTCTGAATGGCGGGAAATGAACTTTCCCGACTTCTGAAGTGTCTTCTAATGACT